TGTGGGTTTTAAGAGTCAAAGTTTAGTTCAACAGTCAACTGCTGTGGAACCACAAAGATAATGTTTTCATAGCAGTCCGTGGCTGCTGACGTAGGCTGATGTCGTAGGCTGCTGACGTAGGCTGCTGACGTAGGCTGATGACGTAGGCTGATGACGTAGGCTGCTGACGTAGGCTGATGACGTAGGCTGATGTCGTAGGCTGATGAAGTAGGCTGATGTCGTAGGCTGCTGACGTAGGCTGATGACGTAGGCTGCTGACGTAGACTGCTGACGTAGGCTGATGTCGTAGGCTGCTGACGTAGACTGATGACGTAGGCTGATGTCGTAGGCTGATGACGTAGGCTGCTGACGTAGGCTGCTGACGTAGGCTGATGACGTAGGCTGCTGACGTAGACTGATGTCGTAGGCTGATGTCGTAGGCTGCTGACGTAGGCTGCTGACGTAGGCTGTTGACGTAGGCTGATGACGTAGGCTGATGTCGTAGGCTGATGACGTAGGCTGATGTCGTAGGCTGATGACGTAGGCTGATGTCGTAGGCTGATGACGTAGGCTGATGACGTAGGCTGATGACGTAGGATGCTGACGTAGGCTGATATCGTAGGCTGCTGACGTAGGCTGCTGACGTAGCCTGCTGACGTAGCCTGCTGACGTAGGCTGCTGACGTAGGCTGATGACGTAGGCTGATGACGTAGGCTGATGACGTAGGCTGATGACGTCAGCAGCCACGGACTGCTATGAAAACATTATCTTTGTGGTTCCACAGCAGTTGACTGTTTAAACTAAACTTTGACTCTTAAAACCCACATGTGACAAAACGGAACCATCAACATCTCGCCTCAAATTGCATTAAAAGTGACATTTGTGTCTTAATTCGTTCGTATTTTAACTTTTAAAGAAATTCACGGTCCGCCATCTTGGTTTGCTTCGGCTGCCGTGAGACGCGCAGGTTTGCATTACATCATAAACAGCTGCGGCAGTGCATCTCTTCAAGGCAGTGCATCTCTTCAAGGCAGTGCATCTCTTCAAGGCAGTGTATCTCTTCAAGGCAGTGCATCTCTTCAAGGCAGTGCATCTCTTCAAGGCAGTGTATCTCTTCAAGGCAGTGCATCTCTTCAAGGCAGTGCATCTCTTCAAGGCAGTGCATCTCGACGTTACACCGGGACCCGCCCCCACTGCCCCCAACCCTAACCCAGCGGGACCATGAGCAGGACCATGAGCAGGACCATGAGCAGAACCATGAGCAGGACCAGGAGCAGGACCATGAGCACCATGAGCAGGACCATGAGCAGGACCATGAGCAGGACCATGAGCAGGACCATGAGCAGGACCATGAGCAGGACCATGAGCAGGACCATGAGCAGGACCATGAGCAGGACGGAGGAGTCAGTTTGAGCAGAATCTCCCGTTTCTGTTTTGATGAACAGCGAGAGGCACTGTGGCTGCCAGATTATTTTATTTCTCGTAATGAACCTTGTGAAGTGCACAAATCCAGTATATAATCTGTATTTAACACAAACTGTTTACATGTTTATTTACACTTTTTGACATGTGCAAACTGAACTTCCGTACGAATCCGGCAGCCACAGCACTTTGTGTATTTCTGAACGGCAAAGATGTGGTTTCTCCGGGCGCACGCTGATGATGTCATATTCATTTCTGTAATTGTCTTAAACTGTGGAGGCGGGAAAACAGCCTCACTTCGTCCAATCAGCTTGAAGTATTCTGCAGCCCCTCCTTTACAGAGAGGACGCTGCAGAAGTCCAGACTGAGTCCAATCATCAGTCTGGGTTTGCCTGATCACAGGTACAGTCCTGAAAAGTCCACAGCTCACAGGTACAGTCCTGTAAAGTCCACAGCTCACAGGTACAGTCCTGTAAAGTCCACAGCTCACAGGTACAGTCCTGTAAAGTCCACAGCTCACAGGTACAGTCCTGTAAAGTCCACAGCTCACAGGTACAGTCCTGTAAAGTCCACAGCTCACAGGTACAGTCCTGTAAAGTCCACAGCTCACAGGTACAGTCCTGTAAAGTCCACAGCTCACAGGTACAGTCCTGTAAAGTCCACAGCTCACAGGTACAGTCCTGTAAAGTCCACAGCTCACAGGTACAGTCCTGTAACGTGCACAGCTCACAGGTACAGTCCTGTAAAGTCCACAGCTCACAGGTACAGTCCTGTAAAGTGCACAGCTCACAGGTACAGTCCTGTACAGTCTTACTTGCTGGAAGCGGATGTCCAGATTGAAGCTCACAGGGTCTCGGGGGCTGCAGATCACAGGGACAGAGAACTCCAGGCTCTGGGCCGTGGTGCAGGGGACCAGCCTCACGGAGTAAGTCCCGGAATAATCTCTCACCTGGACACGAGATTACAGACACTGAGCGAGATCACAACATAAAGAGATTAGAGATAAGAGATTATAGTTTAGAGTTCAGAGTTCAGAGATTACAGTTTAGAGTTTAGAGATTAGAGATTAGAGATAGATTATAGATGATAGATTACACATGATAGATTATAGATTATAGATGATAGATTATAGATGATAGATTATAGATGCTAGATTAGAGATTAGAGATGCTAGATTAGAGATTAGAGATGCTAGATTAGAGATTATAGATGATAGATCAGAGCTGCAGACTCACGGCGTAGTCCGAGGTGAAGGTCCACTGCTGCACAGGTTGGTTGTAGCTGGGCTCGCTCCGCACCAGCGAGAGGTTAAAGGTCAGCCCAGGGTGGTCCTCACTCAGCACCATGGACACGGCTTTAGCACAGGTACAGTTTATTGTGGTGGTAAAGTGGTCCGCACATTAAAAGCGGGTCGCCCCTTTATGCTGTTACTTATGGCAAACGTGGAAGTCACGGGGATGAGCAACTAAAATGTTTAAAATTCATCATCACAGTTAAAGCTTCCCGCTCTATGTTTACTTTTAATGTGTGGACCACTTTTAATGTGTGGGCCGCTTTTAATGTGAGGACCGCTTTTAATGTGTGGGCCGCTTTTAATGTGAGGACCGCTTTTAATGTACGGACCACTTTTAATGTGTGGACCGCTTTTAATGTGTGGACCGCTTTTAATGTGCGGACCGCTTTTAATGTGTGGACCGGTTTTAATGTGTGGACCGGTTTTAATGTGCGGACCACTTTTAATGTGCGGACCGGTTTTAATGTGTGGACCGGTTTTAATGTGCGGACCACTTTTAATGTGCGGACCACTTTTAATGTGCGGACCGCTTTTAATGTGCGGACCGCTTTTAATGTGTGGACCGCTTTTAATGTGCGGACCGCTTTTAATGTGCGGACCGGTTTTAATGTGTGGACCGGTTTTAATGTGCGGACCACTTTTAATGTGCGGACCACTTTTAATGTGTGGACCGCTTTTAATGTGCGGACCACTTTTAATGTGCGGACCACTTTTAATGTGCGGACCGCTTTTAATGTGCGGACCGCTTTTAATGTGTGGACCGCTTTTAATGTGTGGACCGCTTTTAATGTGCGGACCGCTTTTAATGTGCGGACCACTTTTAATGTGCGGACCACTTTTAATGTGTGGACCGCTTTTAATGTGCGGACCGCTTTAATGTGCGGACCACTTTTAATGTGCGGACCACTTTTAATGTGCGGACCACTTTTAATGTGCGGACCACTTTTAATGTGCGGACCACTTTTAATGTGAGGACCGCTTTTAATGTGCGGACCACTTTTAATGTGCGGACCGCTTTAATGTGCGGACCACTTTTAATGTGCGGACCACTTTTAATGTGCGGACCACTTTTAATGTGTGGACCACTTTTAATGTGCGGACCACTAATGTGCGGACCGCTTTTAATGTGCGGACCACTTTACAGCGGCCGTGTTTTGCTGTTCTTTTCTGAAGGAATGAGAAAAAAAGCAGGTAATCTGTCCCAGCGGACCGTAACGACCGTAACGACCGTAACGACCGTAACGACCGTAACGGACCGTAACGACCGTAACGACCGTAACGACCGTAACGGACCGTAACGACCGTAACGGACCGTAACGACCGTAACGGACCGTAACGACCGTAACGACCGTAACGGACCGTAACGACCGTAACGACCGTAACGACCGTAACGACCGTAACGACCGTAACGGACCGTAACGGACCGTAACGACCGTAACGACCGTAACGACCGTAACGGACCGTAACGGACCGTAACGACCGTAACGACCGTAACGGACCAACAACAAGAACGGACCGTTTGATTTAGTAAAACCTCCAACCGTCTGAAACTAGCTAATAGCTAACTCTGTAGCATCAGGAGCTTTCTCTGCTGTTCTGCTACAGAGTCACATGACCGGAGTCACATGACCGGAGTCACATGACCGGAGTCACATGACCGGAGGAAAACTATAAAAAACAGGATCCTCCTACAGACTGGTCACAGCTGTGTGTAAACAGGAAATGGTTAGATTCACTGTTCTACAGAATAACATACAGAATAACATACAGAATAACACAGAATAACACACAGAATAACACACAGAATAACATACAGAATAACATACAGAATAACACACAGAATAACACACAGAATAACATACAGAATAACATACAGAATAACACACAGAATAACATACAGAATAACACACAGAGTAACACACAGAGTAACACACAGAAAAACATACAGAATAACATACAGAATAACACACAGAGTAACACACAGAATAACATACAGAATAACATACAGAATAACACACAGAGTAACACACAGAAAAACATACAGAATAACACACAGAATAACATACAGAATAACACACAGAATAACATACAGAATAACACACAGAATAACACACAGAATAACACACAGAATAACATACAGAATAACACACAGAGTAACACACAGAATAACACACAGAATAACACACAGAATAACACACAGAGTAACACACAGAATAACACACAGAATAACACACAGAATAACACACCAAATAACATACAGAATAACACACAGAATAACATACAGAATAACACACAGAATAACACACAGAATAACACACAGAATAACACACAGAATAACATACAGAATAACATACAGAATAACACACAGAATAACACACAGAGTAACACACAGAGTAACACACAGAAAAACATACAGAATAACACACAGAATAACACACAGAATAACATACAGAATAACACACAGAATAACACAGTATAACACACAGAATAACACACAGAATAACATACAGAAAAACACACAGAATAACACAGTATAACACACAGAATAACACACAGAGTAACACACAGAATAACACACAGAATAACATACAGAATAACACAGAATAACACACAGAATAACACAGAATAACACACAGAATAACATACAGAATAACACACAGAATAACATACAGAATAACACACAGAATAACACACAGAATAACATACAGAATAACATACAGAATAACACACAGAATAACACAGTATAACACACAGAATAACACACAGAATAACATACAGAATAACACAGAATAACACACAGAATAACACAGAATAACACACAGAATAACATACAGAATAACACACAGAATAACACACAGAATAACACACAGAATAACACACAGAATAACATACAGAATAACATACAGAATAACATACAGAATAACACACAGAATAACACACAGAATAACATACAGAATAACACACAGAATAACACACAGAATAACACACAGAATAACACACAGAATAACATACAGAATAACATACAGAATAACATACAGAATAACACACAGAATAACATACAGAATAACATACAGAATAACACACAGAATAACACACAGAATAACATACAGAATAACATACAGAATAACATACAGAATAACATACAGAATAACATACAGAATAACATACAGAATAACACACAGAATAACATACAGAATAACATACAGAATAACACACAGAATAACATACAGAATAACACACAGAATAACATACAGAATAACATACAGAATAACATACAGAATAACATACAGAATAACACACAGAATAACATACAGAATAACACACAGAAAAACATACAGAATAACATACAGAATAACATACAGAATAACACACAGAATAACATACAGAATAACACACAAAAAAACACACAGAATAACACACAGAATAACACACAGAATAACACACAGAATAACATACAGAATAACACACAGAATAACATACAGAATAACACACAGAATAACACACAGAATAACATACAGAATAACACACAGAATAACACACAGAATAACATACAGAATAACACAGAATAACATACAGAAAAACATACAGAATAACATACAGAATAACATACAGAAAAACATACAGAGTAACACACAGAAAAACATACAGAATAACACACAGAGTAACACACAGAGTAACACACAGAGTAACATACAGAATAACATACAGAATAACACACAGAATAACATACAGAATAACATACAGAATAACACACAGAATAACATACAGAATAACATACAGAATAACACACAGAATAACACACAGAATAACATACAGAATAACACACAGAATAACATACAGAATAACATACAGAATAACACACAGAATAACACACAGAATAACATACAGAAAAACATACAGAATAACACACAGAATAACATACAGAATAACATACAGAATAACACACAGAATAACATACAGAGTAACACACAGAATAACACACAGAAAAACATACAGAAAAACATACAGAATAACACACAGAATAACATACAGAATAACATACAGAATAACATACAGAATAACACACAGAATAACATACAGAATAACACACAGAATAACACACAGAATAACACACAGAAAAACATACAGAATAACACACAGAATAACATACAGAATAACATACAGAATAACACACAGAATAACACAGAAAAACATACAGAATAACACACAGAATAACACACAGAATAACATACAGAATAACACACAGAATAACATACAGAATAACATACAGAATAACATACAGAGTAACACACAGAATAACATACAGAATAACATACAGAATAACACACAGAATAACACACAGAATAACACACAGAATAACATACAGAATAACATACAGAATACCGCAGCTGTAGGTCTCTCTCACCTCTCTGGCCCCCTGCAGAGTGAGCCTGCACAAACAGACCCCTGAACCGGGCCTTGGTCCTGAAGTTGACCACGAGGCGTCCCTGTGGGTCGATGCGCATGCTGCTGGGGAACAGAGCGCCTGCAGAACACACATGGACTCAGAACCACAGACTGGACTCGGGTCAGAACCACAGACTGGACTCAGGTCAGAACCACAGACGCTCCACAGATGGACTAAGCTAACAGGCTAGCTTAACTTTAATGTAAACGTAAACTCCTCTGGCTCAGTTTGTGTGACACCATGTTGGGCTGTGATGTCTTTGGAAATCCAGATAGAGTCTGGTCTCTCTCTGGTCTTTCTCTTTGGTCTCCCTCTGGTCTCTCTCTGGTCTCTCTCTGGTCTTTCTCTTTGGTCTCCC